GTGCTTCAGATGACCATACCATCTGCCTATGGGACATCAGTGATGTTTCAAAGGAAGGAAAAGTTGTGGATGCGAAGACCATCTTTATAGGGCATACAGTTGTACCTCGCCACTTCGTGCTTCGACTTTCGCAGCTTCATTCGTGGTTTCTTCAAATACATTCATTAAAATGTTGATCAAGACAGTGAAAATGACACAGCGTGCACTCGGTTGTCTGAGTCAATTATACACTCCTGTATTACAATTAAAGTTAAAAATACTGTACATATGGACTATAGGCCTACGTATTCGAGCACTCCAGGAATCCTTCAATGCCAGGTGCAACCGCTAGAGTCTGGAACAGATTAGTGGTGATAAATGAGGGACGACTGTACAGCAGCAGTAGATGTTTCCTGGCATCTACTTCATGAGTCTCTGCGTCTGTTGCTGATGGTCAGAAACTTATGATCTGGGATACTCATTCAAACAATACTTCCAAACCAAGCCACTCAGTTGATGCTCACATTGCTAAAGTGAACTGCCTTTATTTCAATCCTTTCAGTGAATTACTTCTTGCCACAGGATCAGCTGGTAAGACTGTTGCCTTGTGGGATCTGAAAAATCTGAAATTTAAGTTGCATTCGTTTGAATCACATAAGGATGAAATATTCCAGGTTCAGTGGTTGCCTCACAATGAGACTATTTTGGCTTCCAGTGGTACTGATCGCAGACTGAATGTCTGGGATTTAAGTAAAATCGAAGAGGAACAATCCCCGGAAGATGCAGAAGATGGGCCTCCGGAGTTGTTCTTTATTCATGGTGGTCACACTGCCAAGATATTTGATTTCTCCTGGAATCCCAATGAACCTTGGGTGATCTGTTCTGTGTCAGAAGACAATATCATGCAAGTGGGGCAAATGGCAGAGAACATTTATAATGATGAAGATCCTAAAGGAAGTATGGATCCAGAAGGACAGGGGTCTTAGATTCGTCTGCACTTGTAATTTTACACAGCCCTTTTTTCCCTTTCAACCCTGATATTGATTTAACACTGGTCTGAGACACAGACTTTGTTCAGCTATCCCTCTATAATAAGTACCATCAACAATACTATTAGCCCAAACCAAGGGTGTTTGCTAAATATTAACTGGGGACTTGATTCAGCAAAACCACAGACTTATATTTAAATTTTCTTCAGGAGTTTTCTAGTAACAAAGATCTAAAGTAATCACTGAAAGGCAAATATTGTGTATGGTTTTTTATTTTTCTTCATATGCTCTATCCCCAAGTTCTTCAGGCTCATTTAAGTAAAGGCTAGAAGTAAGGAATACAGCCAAGTGAGGTAAGTGTGTGAGCCATAAAGTATAAGTACTGCAAGATGTCATTTTTATTTAGGAATTAGGGGAGATTCAAGTTGTATAAATTCCTACTCTGAAATCTTCACACCTGACTTTTTAAGATGCACATTTCCTATGTAGACCAGTCTCCTCTCAGTTTCTTGAGTTAAGACAAAACTATGTGATCCTCTTTTCCATATATCTTTGCTTATTAGTATATTTCTTGAGCTGTTTCCATATTATTTCTTTCCTTTCTGTGACATGTTTTTTTAAAAAACCTTGGGATCACCAAAGTTGTAAAGGTGTATGTTTTTACCTGAGAGTTATACCACAGGTAGACTGTCCACTTAAGTTGAGAAGAGTGAATCGATAGCTTGTATTTGTTTTTAATATTAAATTAGTCCTAGATAAGAGTTGCTTTTTTTTTTTTAGGAGTTAGTCCTTGACCACTAGTTTGATACTATCTCTGTTTTGGGTGACTTATTTCACCAGCAGGCCTATTACTGTGCATAACTAACTGTGTAGGTACTTATAATGGTATAAATTGCTTTTCTACATAAAAAATAAAATAAAAAATGAAAAGCAGTTTGCCCTGGCTGGATTGGCTTAGCGGTTAGAGCGTTGGCCCACGGACTGGAGAGTCCTGGGTTTGGTTCCCACTAAGGGCATGTACCTCAGTTGCAGTTTGTTCCTGGCCCTGGTTGAGGTGGTGTGGGTGGCAGCCATTTGATGTATCTCTCTCACATTGATGTTTCTCTCTCTCTCTTTCCCCCTTTCCCCTCCTACACTATCTGAAGATGAACGCAAAAATGTCCTTGGGTGAGGGAAAAAAAAGGGGGGGGGGTTTAGCCCTAGCCTATTTTGCTCAGTTGTTAGAGCATCAGCCCTTGGACTGAAGGGTCGCAGGTTCGATTCCCAGTCAAGGCCACATATCTGGGTTGCAGGTTTGATCCCTGGCACTGGTCAGGATCATGCGGGAGGCAGCCAATCGATGTATGTCTCTCACATCAATGTTTCTCTCTCTATCTCCTTCTCTCCAATCCCCCCCCCTTGTACTCTATCTAAAATCAATGGAAAAAATATCCTCTGGTAAGGACTAACCAAAAAAAGAGGCAGTTTTTAGTTGCTACCGAGCTCTTTTGAAATCAGATATATGACCAAAGAAAGCAGTTTTTATTTGCCCCCTACTGGGGATCAAGCCCACAACCCAGGCATGTGCCTTGAACAAGAATTGAACCATGACCTCTCAATCTATTGAGCCATACCAGCCAGGCACTACCAAGCTCTTTTGAAATCAGATGTCTGATCCTTAGAGGCTGATGATCTTCCAGCCTCATACGCATATTTTTGAGTGGAATCATTTGGACTCTATAAGATGGATAAGATAAAACAGGCTTAGAAAAGTCTTGCCACTTGGACTTGGAACATGACTGTTCTGCTACCTCTTGGCTTTGCTGATGTTAAAGGAAAGTCATTGGCTTTTTTTGGAATCCTGAATTCACAGATCCTAATCGCCTGGATCTGAATCTAGGCTGAAACCTGACAATGTCTGGTATTGGGCTATTTAAACCTCAACACAAGCTGTACTGAACTAAAGCAGGCATATATTTTCAATGAATATGACTTTGACTTGAGGACTGCTGGTGATTTAAGACGCACTGTACAGCCATAAATTGAAAATGTCATGCACTCTGGTTGGACCACCTGAATCATTTGCAATACCCACAGAAAGGGGCTTATTCTCTGATGGGCCATCTGAAATCAAGCTGTTTCCTGATTCTATGTATCTGACACAGATACTAAGTACATTCCTAACTTGTGGTTACTGACAAAAGCTACAAGTTGGGACAGGGCACTCTACTCACTCCTTACAGACTAGATTTTCAGTCCGTCTCAGGGATCTCTCACTGCCATTGATTTGTGTTTTCAGCTTTCTGGATTAGTTGCAGTTTTCAACAATATATTAATAACCTGATTCTATTTCTCTTACCTTCACCTCACTCCTCCCTGTATACACACCTTAATTAGGCAACTTGGTTATTAAACAAAGATATTTTCAGAGGAACTAATCTTTTCCAGGTTGCTAACTAGATAAATGATCAGGACAAAAGGGGTGGGAGGTGATATAAACCTATTGTGAGTTTTTGAAAATTCAGGATTTCATCCAGATCAATTCCTAAACACAATAGGTCCTTCTAGTTAGGCTGCACAAAAATACCTTTCTGTACAAATGCTTTTGTTCCTCTTGCACGTCTGGATAATTGGGAAAAAAATAAAGTTTTCATTACTGCAGTGGACATACTGATTTCATAAGGGAGAAAAAACAAAACCCAGTATCATCAGGGGAGGAGAACATTAATGATTTTTGTTTTTCAGAACTATTCTTGAAAGCTTTCCCCTCTTCTTAAAGAAACAAAAACAAAAAAAACTCCTGGTGTTGACTTCCAACCTGCTGTGAATGCTTTGAAGTCAAATTGACTGCTGAGCTTCCAATCACAACTAACAGTGCTCTGAGACAGCAAGGAGTATCCCAACTCCTATACTTCCCACATAGAACACCTCTAAACTCTAGAAGAAAAGGCCTCCTGGGAAGAGGGCACACTGGGGGGCCTTCTTAACCTATGTACCTGACTAATGGATGTTTTGCTTAGAATACCCTAACAATTGTAAGCTATCTGTTTCCAAGGGTACTATGCACACCCACTGAGACTGTACTTCTTTATATGTATACACTATCATGTCACTGCTTGAACCCTGGGAAGTGTTCAGGCCTGCTTCAATTAATAGGCCAGAATTGTTCTTTCCTGAATTGATACTTCAGGCCCTGTAAAAAAGGTCCATAGAGAAACTGCAGAAGAAAGCCACCCACTTTTCTAAGATAAACTTCATGGTTAACAGGATTTATTTAACTAATTCCAGGACCTCTAAAAGGTGTAACTGAGATCAATACTGTAGGTTGGTCTTGCCTTGCCTATTAAAAATAGTTTTGCTATAAAGACATTGGGCTAAAGACCAAGAATTAACACAGCATACCTGAGACTATATGTCTTAGAAAAGTCTGCTTGGTCTGGGTTGGCATCTGAAAATTTGAGTGGTCAACAGTTCCCTACACTGACATAAAACTCCTGAAATGGTAAGAATGGCTGTGTCTAATAATTTGTCTGTATAAACAATATAAACAATATGGTTTACACTGAACACCTGTTCTCTTTTTCTGAAGGTCTGAATTTTTGGTACATGATAGGCAGAAACTGCTTATGTGACCAGCCTCCAATAAAAACCCCAGGTACTGCGTCTCCAGTGAGCTTCCCTGGTAGACATCACATGTTGTCAATCTTGTTGCCGGGGAAATTAAATGTGCCACATATGACTCTACTAGGGCAGTACTCCTGGCAGTATGTGCCTGTTTTCCTTAGACTTCACCCCATGTACCTTTCTCCCTTTGCTGATTTTGCTTCGTATCCTTTTGCTGTAATAAATCATAGCTGTGAGTAGGACTACATGTTCAGTCCTATGAGTCCTTGCTGATCACTAGGGGTAGTCTTGGGGACCCCCAACACCAGTAGCAATAATTTTAAACAAGTAAGCAGATCAATCTAGAGTAAACATTCCATTTGGATATAGAAATGCATTACCAAAATTTCCTTTATGATAACAAAAAGTTAAAATTGATGGACTACTTACGAAAACAGATCGAACCACTGCTGTTTTGTAACAGATTCCTGGCGTAAAAGCTTCAAAACAATTGGACGCATGGAATCCCATTTGTCTTCAAACTGAAGGGAACCTTTATTCTTCGGAAAAAAGAAAAGGATAAACAATAGTTTACTTTAAGTGCAGTTAAATAAAAAGTGTTTATTTTTATCTTTTAAAAGATAGCAAGAGAAATTTAAAAGAATCAGTTTTCCATAATGAAATCCCTAGAAACTTAATCTGGTATCAAGGAATCAAGAGGAATACAAGCATAAAAAAGAAAATCAATTGTACAAAACAGTACAGTGAAGAATTTGGTCTTGTCCAAAGTGAAGGTCTGGCTGGCCTTTGCCGTTGGCTTCTAGTAGGCAATCTCTGGGCCCTTGAAATGTTATGTCATTACTTGCCTGGTGACCTTGGGTCATACTGGATAATCTAACAATGTGATTTGGGGAGGGAACTAACCATACCAATATAATCTTAGGGTGGAACTGGCCAATCCAGAAACATCAACAATGTGATTTAGGGTGGGAACTTTGGTTCAACCAACCTGGAGACCAAGATTACCCATGTGAGCAATCAATCAATCATGCCTACATGACAAAGCCCTAATAAAAATTCTGGGCACCAAAGATTGGGTGAGCTTATGGCTGACAGTACTCTATATGCAATGTCACACACTGAGGTAAAGAGAGAAATAAGACCTGACTACACAGGAGAGGGCAAGGGAAGCTCTATGCTTAAAACCCTCCTGGACTCTACCTGATATGTCTCTTCCTTTGGGTGATCTTAATCTTTCCTTTCCTTGTAATAAATCATAACCATGAGTAGAGCAACTTTCAGTAAGATCTATGAGTTTTTTCTAATGAATTATGAAACCTTGTGCTGGTTTTGGGAACCCATCAAATATGTGGCTGGTGTCAGAAGTAAGGGTGGTCTCATGTATGGAGAATATGGCCTCTAATTTTATAGTTGCCCTAAAACTCCTCACAGAATGTATATTTAAAATCTAGCCCTGGCTGATTTGGCTCAGCGGTTAGAGCATCGGCCCACAGACCAATGAGTCACGGGTTCGATTCCGGTCAAGGGCACGTACCTCGGATGCAGTTTGTCCTCGGCCCTGGTCAGGTCGTATGGGAGGCAACTAATCAATGTGGCTCTATCACATTGATGTTTCTCCCTCTCTCTCTCTCTCTCTCTCGCTCTCTTTTTCCCCCTCCCTCTCACTCTATCTAATGATAAATAGAAAAATACCCTCAGGTGAGGAATAAAAATAAAATAAAATCAATACAAACTCTGAAAACTGAACAAAAAAACCCCCACAAACAGGAAGATACGCATTTCATAAACCTTAATTTTTAAAGAAGAAATGGAAACTCCAGACCAGTGGTTCTCAACCTTCCTAATGCCGTGTGACACTTTAATACAGTTTCTCATGTTGTGGTGACCACCAACCTAAAAATTATTTTCGTTGCTACTTCATAACTGTAATTTTGCTACTGTTATGAATTGTAATGTAAATATCTGATATGCAGGATGTATTTTCATTGTTACAAATAGAGCAGAATTAAAGCATAGTGATTAATCATAAAAACAATATATAATTATATATTGTGAAGTATTTATTTCTAATTACAAATAAATGAAATTCTGTCTTGAAGCATGGTGTAGCATGAGTAACAGTCTTAATATAACAACAGTAAACTATATTGCTTCATTTTGCGACAGTATGCGTAAAAAGCCAATGTCAGTGCAAAAGTTGAGATTGTTTCTTTCTCACCAGATCAGAAATCCTCCGGGCAGTCTTTGCAAGAGAACAATGAAGATCATCTTCCACAACAAGTCTACTTCTGTATTTACCCTTGATAACCAACAAGCAGAAAAATCCTGTTTCACAAAGATATGTTGTTGGAAATGGAAGAAGGTACAACACAGTCTCAGACAGAACAGGATATGGCTACAAACACTTGATCCAGAATTTTGTAACTGACATTGTAGAGAAATCAGTTTTCGCTGCATCGCTGTTAATAAGTTCAATGAACTACTCTTGTGCTGTCTCAGGAACATCTTCAACTTTGACTGTGAATGGGCTTCTGGCAAGTGCAAATGGAGTGTCAGGTAGATTTGGAAAGTACGATGAAATTTCGTCTGCAAGCATGTGCAAGTGTTCTTTCACAGAAATTATCATCGTAATCCTTTTGTCTGGTTCAATGTCATGTTCCTCAAAGAAAGCAGATAAGGTAGGCAACATGTAAATTTTACTTTCATCAATTTTTTTTTTGTGTGCCAAAACTGAACTTTCATTTGGAATGATGGGATCTTTTCAGATAAATCAAGGCATGTTGCATTTTGTCCTTGCAGTGATAAATTTAACTCATTCAAGATGGCAAAGATGTCAACCAAGTAAGCTATTTTCTGCAGTTTACTTTTATCGCTGAAAAGTGCTTTGAATTGCGGTCTTGCTTTCTGATTAAGAAACGTTTTGAGCCCTGGCCAGTTTGGCTCAGCGGTTAGAGCATCGGTCTGCGGTCCAGAGAGACCCGGCTTCAGTTCTTGCCAAGGGCATGTACCTCGGTTGTGGTTTGTCCCTGGCCCTGGGTGGGTGTGCAGGTGGCAGCCACTCGATGTGTCCCTTTCACATCAATGTTTCTCTCTCTCTCTCTCTTCCTTTCTCTCCCTCTTGCTCTACCTGAACAAAAAATGGAAAAATGTCCTTGGGCGAGGATTAAAAAAAAAAGGAACATTTTGAGTTCATCATGAAGCTCAAAAACACGTTTTAAAACTTTTCCTGTTGACAGAATTCTCACTTCAGTGTGAAATAGCAGAACACTGTTTGGCGCATCCAACTCGTTGCACAGTTGTGAAAACAGTCGACTGTTTAAAGTACTCGCCTTCACAAAATTGACCGAACTTATGAGGCTTTTCATTACTTCTTGGAACTCTTGTGGCAGTGTCTTCGTTGCTAATATTTGCCGATGAATCATACAATGAGGTCCAATGACCTTTGGTGACTCATTCAGTACCAAATGTTGAAATCCAGATTGACATCCTAGCATAGCTGGAGCACCATCTGTGCAAACACCACAAACCTTTTCCCAAGAGATCTTATGCTCTTTCAGAAATGAACCAACTGTGTCAAATACATCACATGCAGCAGCTGTCATTTCAAGAGGTTTGCAAAAAAGAAACTCATCTTTAAAGTCGCTATCATTAATAAACCTCACGTAAACCAGTAACTGTGAACAGTCTGCAACGTCTGTAGATTCATCAAGCTGGATGCTAAATACTGGAAGTGGAGCAGATTTAATTTCCTGGATTACCTATTCAAGAATATCAGCAGACATGTTATCTATTCTTCTCCGGACAGTGTCGTTAGATAAGCAAATTGCACTTAATTTCATAACAAATTTGTCTCCGATCATAACTCGAACAATGTCTTTGGCCACTGACAACAGTTAATCCTTAGCAATGATGTGAGGTTTCATAGCTCTGGTGATTCCGAGTCCCACCAAATATGAAGCTTCAATGGCTGCTATGTTTTGTTTGTAGTACTTGCCACCAGGGTCAAGTCTGGCTTTCTTGAGTCCATTAGCTTTACTTCTAAAATAGTTGGTATCCTTGCTGGCAAAGCTCAGATGCTTGCTATCAAAATGGCGTTTTAGTTCATTCAACTTCATAGATTTGGCTGATAGAACTTCACAACAAATAACACATTGCAGTTTCTCAATTCCTGCTGTAATTATTGAGGTAAAACCATACTGTAAAAAATCCTCACTATATTTTCTTTTCTTAATGTTCTTCTCTACACGATCCATTGTCATGGGATGGTTTGCTAATGAAAATAATATATAACAATAGCTTTAATAATACAAAAGATGATACATAGCATAGTTTAGTCAACACAGTTCATTAAAGTTTCCTATGATTTACCATTCTCTGTGTTGTTTTTTTTACATACCTGTTACTATCACAAGGGGGCAGTATTCACATCAACCACAGCTGAATATAAAAAGGCCAATCAGCATCTAGATTAAGTTCCCATGGTACAGATATTTTTTTTTGCAGTAGTTGATGGTTTTACAGTACATGATTTTACATTTACCCAGTAATTATAATTCATTAAGTGTCGTTTTACCTCCAATACTGCTGCTTTCAACACAGTAGCTGCTTTTAACAAAGCTGCTTTCTACACAGTAGCTGCTCTCTACACATGTGACTGGTCCGCATAAGTACATTATTGTGCCAACCCTGTCACACAGACCTCTGTTTGTATGGGGTGTATGTGATGGGGTTGGCACGATGATGTCATCACGCCGGGTACTTGTATGTGGGCCTATCTGTATGTGGGTGTATCTGCATGTGGGTGGACCTGCCTGGAGACAGAGAGAGGAGCGATGTCTCAGTTCCTAAGACCATAAAAATATGTGTTTTCCGTTACCCCTGTGAAAGGGTCATTCGACCCCCAAAGGGGTTGTAACCCACAGGTTGAGAACCGCTGCTCTAGACCGATCTAACTAGAGAACACAGACACAAAAATCTTAAATAGTAAATTAAATAAGTGGCATATCAACAGAATAATACCTCATAACCATGCAAAATTTGTCCCAGGAATGTGAAAGTGGCTTAATATTAGGGGAAAAAAAAAATCAATTCATTACATTACTAAAAAGAAAGAGAGACCCCATATGTGTTAATCATTAGTAATGTTCCTTTTTAAGTTAAATATGGCAATGGGACTTGTTTTCGCCCATAAATTTGAACAAAAATCATTAATTTTCCAACATACTAGTATCAGACACCTCTAAGAAACTTATTTTTTAAAATATATGATTGTTGTTGAGGGTGTTGCTCACTTGTCCTATATCAAATAAGGTTCATGTACTGCCTACACAGAATCTGCAAATTCCTGAAATTATAACCCAGAAGCAGTTTTTAAACACATGGTCTGACAAGAACCTACATCAGAATCACCAAGGACGATGATTACACATACAAATTTCTAAAATCTACCCCAGAATCTCTTGAGGTGGGTGAGTTTATAATTTGCATGTTTAGCAAATTCATGATAAAAGTATATAAAAATGTCGGACGGTTTATAACT